CCAAGATTTTCTACATCAAAGCCATTCATAAAGACAACTTAACCTAACTTTACTAAAAATCTATATCTCTAAATTTTTTTCTAAGGGTGGTGATTGAATCATTAATCTGCTCCAGCAGCAATGCTTTGAAAAAGTCAATCACTATTGTTGTAAGTATCAGTGACACTGCCCAGTGAGGGGCTAAAGACCCCTTAGAGTTTTCATACAACTCATAGATTAGGAGGGACACGGTGACTGAGAGGGTAATAAGCAGAGCTGTGCTCAATAACAATATGAGGTCCGCAGAACACATAGTCCACAGCACACATAGTCCTCAGAGTCCTGCCTCTCCGAGGCTCACCAAGCAAGTTTATGTTGACTGCCAGGCCACATTCTATGAGTTCCAAAGCCATTTGCTGTTCCTTTCCCATGGTTCCAACACAGAGTCAAGGAAACAAATGTTATAATGAACAAACAAACAAACAAAACCAAAAATCAAGCTAAGGGTCTGAAAGAAGAGTTTTCAACAGAAGAAATGTAAACTGCTAAGAAACACCCAAAACATTGTTTACCTTATCAGTTAGGGAAACACAAATTCAAACTGAAAGACCCTAACCCTTCAAGCTTACATCCCCAAGCCCCAGGAAATAAGGAACTAAAAAGAAAACTAGTTCCAAGGGCTACCTGACTCAGCCACTACTCAATCACCCCTGTAACAATATAACAATGTAAAAAGATTTCTGTTAAGAGATGTGCTCAACTGTGACTGGGATAGTTGCAGGTGTTCCAGGAAGGACCACTTTGACCTGTGTGTAAACTCCACTCCCGCCCTGATACCCCCCTTGAGGTTTCAGGAAGAATGTACATGCGGACGTGACTATACCCACTTTGTGATCACCCTGTGATCAGGCCATGAAATTGTATGGGAATTGTAATCTTGTGGGTTTTGTGGGTTTTTCCTTTAAAAGCCCTTATGGGGCTGCAGTAAGATGCAACTCTTGCTCTTGGGAGCAGAGAAGCCCTTCTGTACAGAAGCCAATAAGTTCCTCGTGCTGTTGCATCAACTGGACTGGAGTCTGGGTTCTTGGGGCTCCCACTTGAGACCCTAAACCTTTGGGGTCCAAAACAAACAACTTTGACATTCTGTCTCACTCCAGTCAAAATGGCAAAATGGCAAAGATCAACAGTACAAATGACAGCAAATACTGGATAGTTTGTGGCAAAAAAAGAGTCCTCACTCACGGTTGGTGGGCATTCAAACTGGAGCAGTCATTATGGAAGTAAGTATGGTGAATCTTCAACAAACTCCCTGGCATGCCCAAACTCCTCAGCATCCTACTCTCAGGTAGCTTGTTCAGCGATGCTCATTGCTGTCTTATTTAAAACAGCTGGGAAATGGAAACAACCTAACTGTGCTTCCACATGTGAGTGGATAGAGACAATGTGCACATCTATGCAATGGTATACAATTAAGCTGTTGAGAAAAAGCAAATTAGGAAATTTGCAGGTAAATGGAACTAGGAAAGATTATATTGTAGCTAGAGTTTTCCTGCCTGGCCCACAGTCAGGACAAATCTCTGACACCCGCCAGTCCCACAGCCACTCAAACCCGACCAAGTAAACACAGAGACTTATATTGCTTACAAACTGTATGGCCATGGCAGGCTTCTTGCTAACTGTTCTTACAGCTTAAATTAATCCATTTCCATTAATCTATACCTTGCCACATGGCTCATGGCTTACTGGCATCTTTACATGCTGTTTCTCATCATGGCAGCTGGCAGTGTCTCTCTGACCTAGCCTTCCACTTCCCAGCTCTATTCTCCTCCTTGTCCCGCCTACACTTCCTGCCTGGTCACGGGCCAATCAGTGATTTATTTATTGACCAATCAGCAACACATTTGACATACAGATCATCCCATAGCATTATATTGAGAGAGGTAACCCAGACATAGAAACACAAACCTCACATGTTTCCTCTCATCTGTGGTTTGCTCCAAATCTTTAGATGTAAGTTTAGAATATGGAGTTTCACAGAAGCAAGGAAAGTATAGAACAACCTTTGCAGGGAAGTGGGAGGAGACTTGATTGGGAAATAGCAAGATGTATGTGACAAGGAGTGGGAAATAGAAAAATAGGTGGGGGATCCAACTGTGCAGAGAGAGGAAAGTGAGTAATGCAGAAGGAGAAGAAGGGGGATACAAGTAACACGAAAGTTATTTGATAAAGACTCAAGGAATTTTATTATTTTACATTTATCTAAAACAATACACAATATGTATAAGTGTGTGCATATGCATGTGCGCACACACACACACACACACACACACACACACACACACACACACATACACACAGAAAAATTTTGCTGCTTGGTCTGATAATTGCCCACACACCAAGAACCACAGACTAAGAAAACACTCAGTACCAGATACTAGAAATCTCCTTTCAAATAGCTGGTCAGAATTGCTCAAGTGACTCACCATATAACACAGTCTATTGCTGTTGCCCTTATTGCCTCGGAGGTTGAAGGTAAACCCCTATCACTAAAGACATTACTTATAGAAGACCCAGGACTTAGACTTTTAGACTTTCAGGTCTAACCTGAAACTTTCCCTCCTATGATCTATCTAGCTTCTGTGGTAGCAGGAAATGCTATGCAAGCTGCCGAGGCAGGGAAACAATTCTTAGTCCTCCCCAGCTGAAACACCTGTGAAACACAACAATAGCCAGCATGATAAGATATCTGTAAATGTGGAATAAGTGACATTCACATGTTGGTGGCAAACAACTGCTCTCTAATTGAACCTAAGACTCACTCAAAACAGGAGCCAATTCATGCCTGGTACTAGAAACACAGGCAACTTCTGGGAATAATCAGGTCATGGATCTTAATAGAGAATGAACTGTAACCACTGTGCAAGACCCAACTAATTTCTAATTACAATCTAAATCTTGTTCTTCTATCCACAGATAAGTAGCTATCATTCCTCATCAGAAAAGCTTCTCTCTAGAGAAAACAGAGACCTTAACAGAAACCCATACCTGTAAATAATACAGAGGTTAAGGGATTGTAGGGAGCCCAGCCCCAATGGATATACCTACAGCACAGTTCTTGCATCTATGACTTAGGGAATATCGAGGAAAAGACAGGTAGAAAGACTTCAAGAGCCAGAATGTCATGATGTCCACTGTGAAATAGCCTCTTCCAAAAATGGATGCATAAATAAGACCCAAATAATGGCAATGTTGATAGCCACGCTAATGCAGAAGAGGGACCATCTCATAGGGTTCTACTCCTAGGCATAGAACTATAGGGAAAAAAATGAGAATTAACCCTCTCCTAAGGATGAAGCCCCTGATTTGTTATCCAACAAAATGGGGTTACCCCTGAAGCCATATACACATGAACAACAAAAATGGATTCAGTAGTTGTATTTATATATTATGAGTACATACATACATACATATATATGTAGCAATGATAAGATAACAATTGCATATCTCACTGAACACAGAAAAGTAGACCTGTTGACTAATTAGAGCTTTCTCTCCTGGTGACTAGTGTTCATGATACTGGAAAGTACTCTGTGTGCTACCAGAGGAGACAGTTTATCCACCAACTTTTCTCCAATGGAGTCTTACTGGGTGTATTAATCAGACTTAAGAGTATGAACCATGCTCGGCAGTAGATGGCCAACATAAAGTGAACTCAATGGTATTTTTGTAGACTTTCTATTTCTTATTGCTTTGATTTGGGAAGTTTGTCTTACTGGCTCTTTGCTTGCATATTATAATTTCTGATTTTGCATTTTTATGGGTTTTGTTCTTGTCATTTTTTTTAATTCAACAATAATATGGAAAGGAAGATTTGTGGGAATGAGTTCTAAGTATGTAAAGAAATAATAGCGGTAAAAATAGAGATTGTTATGTATCTGCAAAACTGATATGCATTTACCTCAGTAAAGCATAGAGAGTGAGTTTTCAGTTATGACACACAGTCTTGGGTGACCTAGAAGTAGGATCTAGAATGAAAATTTAGACCTATCTTTCTCTACCTACTTTCAGGTTTCTCATCCAGAGAGTTAGACAGATTCCTGTATCCTTCACAAGCTCAATACAACCTACAATATTCAGCTTACACCAGGTGTGAGAGAATTAGTCTTCAGAATGATCATTTGTTTATTCAGATTTTAAAATATCTTTTTTATTATTTCATACATGCAAATATGTCTTTATCATGTGTTCTATCAGCTTTCCCTTCATGGCCTCCAGAACTTTCCATCATGTTTCTCTCTACCCTCCATGTTGACTGACCTTGTTGGCTTAATCTTGTGCAGATAACCATGATTGCAATGAGCTCATGAGTACAATGGCAATGACATGTCCAGAAGATTGCTTATTGCAGTTTTAGAGACAGAGTCTTACTAATGTGGCTCAGATGGGTCTGGCTATCATAGCATTCTTCCTTACTAAGTTTCCTGAGTTCTCAGATGACAGACATGAGCCACCATGCCCACATAAACTTTAGATTTCTTCACTCTTTCTTCCACAACCTGGAAATTATTATGTGGAAAGTCAAGTGCATATATTCCATGTACAAATGGAGTATGTGGTAAATTAGAAATTTAAAGGAGAGAAATAGGGTTTGACGCCTTCAGTGATTCTCTGCCTGTGACAGTTAATTTTGATTGTCAAATTGATTTGATTGAGAAGTATTTAGGAGATGAATGAAACAAAATTCTGTATTCTGAACTCCTACCAGCAACTCTCCATGTGACTTCCAAACCTCAGCCTCAGATTATGGTCACATAATTTGTTGCTCTTATTCTTAGGCTTCCAGCATCTGGAGTTATATATCTCATGGGTTTGTTGGCACTCTAGCCTTAAGATCATTGTTGAACTCTCTAGTTCCCATAGCCATTCACATAAACCAATCTAGTAAATGTGTTTTTATAGATGGGTATACACATAATTCTAACAATACACATTTATTTTTGTCCATTAATTCTGTTCTCTAGATTATCCTGATTAATACACTTCTTTAATTTGGGATAACAACTGAAGAAATCACCAGTTGCTAAGGTGAGTCTACAGGAAAGTCTCACGTTGGACATGATTGTGAAGGGTCAAATGAGAATAGAGTCAGAAGATTACAAGAAAACATTCAATGCTGGGTAATATAGAGATTTTTTTCAGGATATTTGAAATGAGTCTTTTCAAGTTAGACTGCTTTCTATTATATCTTGATGTTCTTGTAGGTCATTTTAAAAATTAAGTTTAAAAATACATGACTAATTTTAGATGTAGTATTTTTTATTTGCTAGCATATTTTTGCTTGAACTCAAGCAGTAAAAGTAACCATTGTAAACTAAAATGGAATGAGTAAAATTTATGGTATTAGAATATTTGTTTCTTCTTATTTATTATTTACCTACTTACTGTGTGTGTGTGTCCGTGTGTGTGTGCACATGCATTTGTGCCACAGTGCACATATGGAGGTCAGAGACAGCTTTCAGGAATCAGTTCTCGATTCTTCTCTTTTGAGCCCCATACACTGAATTTAGGTGTCAGACTTGTCGTCAAGCGACTTTACTTACTGACCGTTCTGCTGGTCCAGGACTTTTAATCTGTCTTATCACTGTAATTAACATGGTTTTATTTTCTTTAGATTCCCAATGCATCCGTTCAATAGGAACAAGACAAGTTATATTTCCACTGTTGTAGTTTAAAGCGCTTAGAAATATGTATTAAATTCCAGAGATAGGATATATTACTAGTCTTATTTGTTTTTCTATCTTCTATACACCTTTCTAATGAACTTCCAAAATCCAGCCCCAGTGTGTGTCTGTGTGTGTGTGTGTTTCTCGATGTCCAGTGCATTTTCACTATTGGTATCAGAGTTGAATTTTCTCAGTTTGGGGATCCTATCTTCCACAATTATGGGACCTTTGTATCCATTTATCATTTTTATTTTATGCAGATAAATAATACGTATTTTTTGTGGCAATATTTTTTCTGTGTACCCAAATAGAGCTTATCTGAGGATCAGTGGAAAAAGCCAGCCACTATAGTAAACATAGAAGTCAGGCAATGGTGGCACATGCCTTTAGTCCTAGCATTCAGGAGGCAGAGATCCATCCAAATCTCTGTGAGTTGAGGGCCACACTGAGAACAGAGCCAGCACTAACCATGGAGGTCTGGAGGTCTGTACAGACAGACAGGAAGTGACAGAGCCAGGCAGAAAGAGGAAGTGAGGCAGCTGGGCAGAGAGAGGGACTGAGAAGGCAGGGATAGAAAGGCATATAGGCATCGGTATACAGGAAGTAGCTGTCTTTGGAGGCTGAGGAGTCGGTAAGGTGAGGTTGACTGTGGCTTGTCCTATTCCTCTGTACTCTTGGTCTTCACCCCAATGTCTGGCTCCGAGTTTTTTTTTTATTAATAAGACTCTTTAGCAATTCATTTTACAGAAATCATCACCACTTTAGTATACATAAGTCTCATTTGAAAGCTAAGTTCTGATAGTTGGACAGTTGAGTCTGGTCAGATGTCCCTGAGTAGTGGGCTCAGCGTGATGGCCCTTCTGTCTTTAGCCCCTCCGACCTGCCTGTGCTCTAAATGGAGCATTCAGCTACTGATACTCTTCCTCTTTTCTAACCTTTGTCCATTGTGGGGAGTCCTTCAAAATGAGCAAAATGTCCAGTGTTCCAAAGAGGAAATAATGAGTCCAAAATGTATCCATCAAATATAATGTAGCTGCCTGGCAAGCTACAGGATATTGAAAAAGAATAATTCCCTACTGTGCTCTCTTGTTTGAGAGAAGAGAGCTAACACCTTTTAGTCTTTTCTCCATGGGAGCTTATTTCCTTTTTCTCCATCCACAGTATTTTTAAGATCCATATCATCACAGAAAGCAAAGGAGAAGAAAAAAAAAATCAAGTGTGAAATGCAATCATGAGTTGCGTCTTGAAATCTTTACTACTGAGAGGCTGACAAGGCAGTGGGTCTGTGTCCTCTTATCTAGGCTCAATTTCAAAGGGTGACTGTGTGTGCCTGAGAGTTTTGTTACAAACAAGAGAATCTTGCCCATCATTTTCAGCATCAAAACTGCAGACCTTTCTGTAATATCAATAATAGATGAATGAGAGGCAGTTTATAAAAAGTAATTGGCAGATTGAGCTGAGCCTGAATAGAGTAGCTTGTAAGCTTGTATAGCCTTGAAATTTATGAGTCTTCCCTCTTGTGTTGGGGGGCAGGAAAACATGGGCCATGATTAAATGTTATGAACTAAACAGGTGAATTACATGTCTTAAATAACCATTCTTTTGCCCGTATTATTCATATTAGTGAATTGAAACTAATCTTAACCTGGAAACCAATTGTGATTTCTCTCACCCCCAATATTCAGATCTTACCATGAGAAACTAGTTCATTATAGGTTATGAAATAGGTGTATAATCACACTATTAATTCATGGAGAAATTTATTTTACATTCTTTTGTAGACATATATTGTTTACTGTTTATTAAGGACAAAAGCAAATTCACACACTAGTAAGATGGATGTTCTTGTTCTTACATGAAGAACTGAGTCTTAGCTGAATCTCTGATAAGGCAACATGTATAGCATTTTTAGTATTTCTTTGGAGTTGTTCAGTGCTTTGACTTTATAATCATCAATGCTGAGAATGCTGTTTTGTATAAGTGTACAGTAAAAGCGGCATGTACATGCTTACATATATTCCAGAAATTGCTGGAAATTCTGTCCTACTCTCAAGTAAAACTCATTTAATAATTTTTAAAAGAAACTCAATTTGATAATTTAAATATCAATTCTTAAAATCAAGCACTCTAACATAATATCCAAAGACACACTACATGGACAATGACACTTGGAAGTATATGTTGCTCCCATGTAGAGATGTCCAGGGATGACTACTTGGGATTGGGCAAACTATGCAAGAACTTTTCTATGGAAGAAATCGATTATCCCTTTCTCAGGAGCCATTTACCATCTTTGGCTCTTCATCTAGAGCTGGGAACTTGTGGAACATTCCTATCCACATCAGCATGTCAACTAGTGTTGCCACTGTGCCGAGCTATGAAGCCTATCAACCACAACAAAGTTCAGGATGCCAATGGTACAATAGTGGCACTTTATATTGGGAACAAATGACATATGTCTAATTGGACTTAAGGCCCACTTAATGTGAGGGAATTCCTGCCTGGTACTATATACCTAACCAAATACTAGTGGAGAGATTTGGACCCTAGAGGAGAACTTACTACTGCCATTTTCCTGAACTAATACAATTTTGAACTGTATTCTAAATAGTTATTCTTATATATGCAGATAAGTGTGATTCTCACCCTTTATCAGAGAATCTCACTTTTGCAACAGATGGAGACAATTGCACAGATCCACGACTGGCCACAATGCAGCTGTTAAGTAATTATTGGATGCCCAGCCCCAATTCATACGTCTGCAGTGCGACGTCTACACTCAAGGCTCAGGGAAAATTACAGAAGAAGAGGTGGAAATATCGTATAGGTTAAACAACTATGACATCTGTTGCCAGATAGTGTCCACTGAGCATGGCAGGGAAAATGTACTCATGAAACAATGGGCTTGTCTGAATAAGATCAGAATAATGACAATGGCAGTTGACACAACAATTTGATTTTGAATTAATGATCATTTGTTGTGTACACTGAAACTGTTATTTGCCCAGTATTTTTCAACAGAGACAATCAGCTGACCAGATATAGGGTCACAATCTGCAGTTTAAGAAGATAGATTGTCACTGTGACATCAGCATATCTCACTGGAATTACGAAAACAAAAATGCCCAGAAAATGATCTTTCTCTTATCCCAGTTGCTTGAAAAGTTAAACTGGCAGGATCTTAGACTTGAGGTCAGCCTGAGAAACTTGGTGAGATCTTGTCTAAAATAAGAAAAAGAAACCAAAAAAATGTTTTCAGCTCAAGTTTTGATCCCTTCTAACTTGCTGTTTACACTGCAGGCTGAATACCCTTCTGAAAGGTAGAATTATTTATAACGCTCAGTGCTGTTTCTGTCTTCAAAGGCATAAGCTCCTTTCCGTTAGTTTACAATGCATCTTGTACATGTTCTCTGGTTATTTCCCCACTTGTATCTTTCACCAACCACTTCCCCACATCTTTCCAGAACTAAGTCTCAGATTTCCCTACCTCTCCCCCCACTTACTGATCCATACTCTCCTCTTTCTGTAGCCTGCTCTTGCCTTCCTGATTTCCTCCTATTTATCTTTCAGGTATCAATTTCATCCCATCCTTGGACATGATCCAGCTTTGATTCCCGTCATAACCCTCATTTTACATGGTTGTTTCTCTGTTGATATTTCACCAGAACAGAAGTTGCCAAGTGACCTTTACTTTACCTTTTGCTAAGTTATGCTCATATTACTATAATGTGATACTTGGTGAATAATAGGATGGATTTTCTTTCCTGCAGCCTCTGAGAATCAGGCCATGAATGGATCCCTGAAAAATGGATTCACCTCTGCTGTTCTACCTAGAAACTGAGAGAGTTATTGGCAAGGGGAAAGAGCCTGCGTGAATGTCTCAGCATACACCCTCACAGAGAAGTGCAGAGGGGGCTGGACACACAGAAAAGACTGAGCCTGCCAGTTTAGGAGCTATCTCCTCCTGGTATTTCTCTCAATGCTTTAAGTGAGGCACCCTCTGTGGGGTAGGAAATTGAATTGCAATTTGCTGAACACAAGAGATCTCTGTAGATTCATAATATAGAAGCAATTCAAAATGCTGGCATGGGCCTTACATTTTTAGGAATATCACAAGGATTTTGAACAAGCAAAACTGAAAATATAGAATATTGAAACATTTTCTTTCCTACATGAATTTATTTTGAAATCCTTTCCAATCCCTCCCTCCATCCCCGGAGCACACAGTTATTGTGAGCTTCTATATACAGAAAGAAGTTCTATATGCCAAGGGTCCAATGGTGATGAGGATCACTGTGCCCATGGAGCTCATGTTAAAAGAGAGGGTGACATGTTAGGCAGTAACCAGTTCTACAAAGATAGGTAAATCACATGAGGTTGTGAGAGTATACCACAGTTCACCAGAGTGAACTAAAAGATCAAAGAGATTCTCCCTGACTGTGGTTGTAGGACAGAGACTATAAAAAGAAGAGGTTGAGTCTTAACTCAATTTTCTTTAAATAAAAGCTTGAAAATATTTAGTAGTATGGAGATCCACTAGAACTGTCTGGGAAGATGGAGGGTATAGGTGAACAAGTGATTGGGTCATTTATGCTTATTGATTACCTCGTATCAATGTCCGGCTTCTTTCTTTCACTTGAGACAGTAATGACTTTCTTGAGATCCTTGAGAAACACATTCCTGGATCTTGAAACTTAAAAAAGACTGTCATATTTAAGTCTAAAACTGGGTGAAGAAAAAAATACCTAGTAGCAGTTTTTCTATAGTAAATGCTCTAAAGGAGGAAAGTCATGGACCTATAACAATAAAGAGGCTGTTCTGAAGTTTGGTCAAACTGATCTGATGGGAAGTTAAGAACATCTTCATCAAAGAAGGCAAGGATTGAAATGAGAGTTGAGAACAGATTCTCAGCAGACTCACTGTGAGATCACTTCAGAACAACAGGCTTGCACTTGGAGCAGCAGGTTGAAAACACCAGTAGGGCTCCAGGGAAATGACCAAAGAGGGGCTGGGTTGGAGGTGAGGCCTCTGAGTTTGGAAAAGGTGAGGCTAAGGAAAACCCCATGGAAGACAATTGCACCTTATTCTGAGAGTCTTGGGTTTAATCAACAGAATTCAAACAATGTACATTCCAAAGGAATTTTTGGGATATTGTGTTGAGAAATTAGTTCATGGTTTGGAGAGCAGAAGCAGAGGGAATATTATGGAAGCTATTTGGATAATCTTATCATGATATTTTATGTATAAGAAGTCATGTATACATTATTAAAGAATGAACATTATGATAAAAATAGAAGTGAAAAGACTGAAAATTATGGTTTGAATAAATAAGTAAATGATGGTATCACCAATAATTGCAAAATTCTGAGCAAAGGAACATGTTTGGAAGTTTGAGAGTGTTATAAAGACATCAATGCTGAATAAGTGTTTGTCAAGTGGTGTCTGGCCTAGGTAATTGCATATAAAGTACCCAATCATTTAACACTGGGGTTATGGGTTATAGCTTGATAAATGTGTGGCTGAGTATTTACACAAACCTATACTGTACACACTAATCATACCATTATTTTACAGTAAATTTTGTAAATAGAAGAAATGTACTCTGACATTTATGTGTGTGTAGGTGTGTATACATATATGTATACATAATAAATGTATAAACAAGGTATACATAATATGTACATATATATTAAATGCATATGCAATATTTATATATATATATATATATCAAATGCATAGACAAAGTAACCATGTCATTGTTGTCAGTATTAACATTATTAAATATTATATATTGTATATAATCATGTTATACTTTGATACAACAAACTGCTAAAGTTTGCTTAAATCAGTTCATCACAAACACAGGAAGAAAGCATTGTTAAACAGCTAAACCATCATTAGCTGACAGGAATCTTTCAGCTGTTGCTAATCTTATGGGATCATCATCATGGCTGGGATACCTTGTTGACTGAGATGTAGAGTGATGCATAACAATATTGCCCCGAAGCTCAAGGGAGATGCACAAGAGAGAAAGACGACTTGGGAGTCACTGGAGTGGAGCTGGTACTTAGAGCCTGTTTGCATGTTATCTAGAGTGTGAAGATGACAGGAGGCATGTCTCTCATATTTCTCATTTAAAAAGTCTCTACATACCAAATTAACCCAGTGCTCTTAAGATTACTGGAATTAATAATTACATTCTCGTTTAGTGGGACTTTACTTATGGTTGAAGTGGGCTGATTAAAAAATGAGAGGAGAAAGCATAGGTGTTGGCTTTTTTTTTTTTAAACAATATATTTGAGATTTTAAAAATAAAGCTATTAGTAACTGGAAAATACAGAATTTTGTTTGGCTTTCTAAATTTATTGAGATATAAAAATTTTAAAATATGTACAAACCCAGAATAGAAGACATGTTTCTTAATTTTACATTTACTGCCTTTACTAGGCCTTGACCTAGAAACTTCTGACTGCTGAGGATACTGTACATTAGTAGTACACATACATACATACATACATACATACATACATACATACATGTGAGAAACAAATGTCAGCTCACCCTGTTTATTTATGTGTTTTTAATCTCTTCTAGCATTAAATAAAGTAAAAGAGACTATGCATAAATGAAGAATGTCACCACATTAACTGGTAGCACTTTTTAATTCTTTATTAACTTTAATCAGTGGTGGCTGAAACTCAAGAGATTTCAAAATCAAACAAGGTCAGATGAGCTTCCAAACAGGACATCTCCAGTTGCCATCTGGTACTTTGTCTTAAGATACTCATTTATTTTTATGTTTTTTTTTTAATATGGAGAAGGCATCAAATGCAAGGTCAGATAGGGATAGTGAGGACACCCTGTGTGCTTGGCCTGGTTCTCAGTGCTAGGGTTATAGTTGCTTATAAAAATAGGTGAAAAGCACTTGCTTTTATGGCAGCATATAGAAGATTCATAAAATAAGTAAGCACAACTTATGCTGATTGATCATAAGTGCTATCGTTGAAGATAAAGCAAGCTTGTGGGAACAAAAGTTCCGGGTTGGAGATGCAGCTGCAAACACATGAAAACAGGATAATTAGAGAAGTGTGTCTGAAGGGACCTTTGAAGAAAGATGTGCAGGAAGAAACGGGATTGGCTATCTACTAATAAGAGTGGGAAGAAGCAGAGAGAGATGAAAAAATTTAGGCTAAAGTGTAGTTAATGTCTTTGAGGAACAACTTGGAAATCCTTGTGTCTAGAGATTAGACAGATAGGGACTTCTGAAACCAGAGAAGTAATAGGAGCAGAGTCACATTTCAGAAGAAATATTCATGAGGATGAAGAGATGCCTGTTCACAACCCCCTGAAACTCCAGTTCCAGGACATCCACCACCTTCTTCTGACTGCTGAGGATACTCTACATTAGTGGTACACATACATACATACATGAAGACAAAACCCTCATATGTGTAAAACACAAATAAAATACATATACATTAAAGTAGGTTGGGTGGCGGGGGGGACATGTGGGAGTGTTTAGAAGGAAGAAAGGGAAGGGGGAAGTGGTATAATTACATGTTAACCTCAAAAATAAAAAAATACAAAATTAATAAAAAAGTTTTTTTTAAAGGAATACTCTTCCTGCCATGCTTAAAAGAGAAAATGGGGCAAGCAGGAGGCAAGAACAAAGGCAGGCAGTATTGTAAGAGGCTGCCGCGATCGGAAAGGTATAGTGATAATCAGAGATGGGAGTGGGCCTTAAGGCTGGCTGTGGGGGTGCTAAAATTAAGCCAGAAGTACTTTGAAAATATACAAGGTGACACTGGCTGAAGTTTTAAGTGGAATATGAGATAAGAGAATCAAGGATGACTTCAAGTTTTCTGGCCCATGGAACAGCAAGAGCAGAGTTACCGTCTAGGTGTGCTGGCAGAAAGCAGGAGAGGATAACGGGTGTGAGGCTGGGGACTGGAAATGTGTCATAAGACTTTTTTTTTTATTCCGCGTAGTTACTTAGTGTGCGTGTATAGTCAGATACATGCACTTAATTTCAAGGGTGTGGTCAGAAATGTTAGTGTGGAGTTTGTGAGTATATACCTGGTATGTATTTATATAAATGAGTCATCCACAGGTTGAGACCAGGGCTGCTAAATTGACTTTTGAGGTTAGAAAGCTAAGAAAATACAAGAAAAGACACTGAATGTAGAAATGTAGAGGAAACCCAGTAGGCTTAAGGATGCCAGAAAATTTGGGGAAAAAAAAAACACATGAAACTAATAAATCAGCTTGTGAAAGAGCCTCCCACATCCAGCTTGTAAAATAATCAAATTAAGACATTATCACTGTTGCCCAGAAGATGAGACTTAATTGTTCTCTCAAATTCACTTTCATTGTTTCACATATAATTTAATAATTAAAAGACTAGTGAATTTTTAAAATAACATTTATTGAATGGCACCTCTTTGCATTAGACAGATTTCACACCATAGTTTTCAATTAAGAAATGAGTTGATGTTTTTAATCATAATTTATTATTGATTAATTAACAATTTATTCAGTGCTTAGTTGGCGTAAGTACCAACAAAGGATAACGTGACAATTGTTCCCTGTGGACTTTTGTCTGTGACTAACTAAAGCCAAGTATCTGACAGATGCTCCCCTCATTTGGATTTCCATGTATGTTATTGATCAGCAGAGTGTAGATATGTGATGGCAAGTATTTTCTGGTTTCTCTCTTTTAAGAGCAACTGAATGATTAGGGTGAGGGACTGCTTAGAGTGAGTAATACAGGGAATACAGGGCAAATCTACACACTGGCACTCAACCCCAGTGCCGTTATTTACTTCATTAGTCAGTAACAGAGGATTTTAATAGTTTCTGCATTTGCAGAAACTTTTTCTATGGAACATATCCGAGTCATTAATCAAAACTTGAGCTACACACATTGTATACTACCTTAAGCAAAATGCTTTTCACATGTAATATTACACTAAAAATTAGAAGCAGTATGTGTGCTCAATTGTGTTTTGATTTAAGAGAACGTAAGAGGAATAAGATTAAGCTAGTTTGGGATTCATCACCATATATCTGGTGTTTATTTATATGAATGAAAATAAGCTCTTGAGGTTGAAAATGTCCCCCACCCCCTTTGTAGTTACCATAGGCTATAAGACTTCTTAGTGGATTCATTAGAAAAATGTCAATCACATCTTTAATAACATACTTTGCTAAAAACTAATGAAAGAACAAATTAGAAAATGAGATGTCATCTTTCTTTTTCCAAAATGTCACCTTGGTTTTCTTCATATAAAAGTGTTTAAAAATGTTTAAACTGGTTTATTATAAATGTGTTCAATGCGTTAATTTTTTCAGTATTTTAAGTAAAGTCCAGGACTTTGTTATTTTTTAAAAGTATGGAGAAGTGGTAAATGGATATCAAATCTTAAATTGTGACATAATCCATTCAAGTTTTCCACATAATTCATCCCCTAAAAGAGTTCAGCAGTCCTGGATATGCTGCTGCTGATCTTTAATAGAATTTATCTTAATAAAGTGAGAGATTTCAGCTACAGACATGCAGTCTTCAGTATCTTGTTCATTTCCCAAATCCAGGAATCCAGGTCTCCTTAGACTCTCCTACACTGGTATTTTGTAAAGTGGCAGAAAACCTCTCCATAGCTGCACTCTGCACAGCTATTACAGCGTCTGTGTTGGCGCGGTAAGTGTCCCAGGAAGAAGGCAGGCTCTTGGCCAGCAATACCTCAAATTAGGACATACGTCTATTAATCACTATTTCTTTGACATTGTCTCTTGTCTGGGGATGTGCACAAATCTATCCATAGCAAATTGCTAAAGGATAGTAGTATTTTCTACATTTCATGCAGCATTGATAAATCTGTGTTTCCATATCCTGCTTGAAAAAATTCCATTCCCAGGCACCAAACCCCTCCCAGCTCCCTATATCCCACCATCTTTGCAGGTTGGGCTGAGGGGCAGAAAGACACTCTAGTCCTGCCTCTGCTCCAGCAGCTCTCACACTGGTCACCAGCCCTCGTCCAGGAACCTGGATGGAAACAGAAAGGGCGGGTTGACCTATACGTGATATTGCCAGTCAAGTTCTCGTTCTTTCCCTTTAAAAGAAAGATTAATTGTATATATAACAACTATGACCAGTGCTTTAGAAGAAAATGACATATTGATTCTGCGGAGAGGATGGCAAGAGAGAATTCCTAGACTACTGTACTTGAGGAGAAAGGATGGTCTGGGGCATTCTCATTAGCTAAGAAGTGAGATGGGGATCCTGTATCTCTTGATTCTTTCCTTTCATAATTTTTCTTTTTCCTTCCTCCATTTCTATATCTCACCCTTTACATTTGACCAGAAAATTATTTAAGGTGTCTAGGAAATTTAAAAAATATAATCATATTAGAACTATGATATAAGAAAAAAGATTGAGAAATTTGGCTCATTACTGTAAACATTTAATTCATATGTTTACAATTACAAAAATTTAAGCAATCTGAAGATATTATTGATGACTTTTCTAATTTTAGTCAATTGAAGGTATATTTCTTCAGCACTAAAAGTAAATGGATGAACCTGGTGTCTACCAAGGTCCTAAAACTTATAACTTCATGTATTTTCATTCCTTTAGATTGATGCAGTCAAAACTAATTATGGAGTAGTATTTATCTTAACATACCTTTCATTTTCAAAGTGTTTAACATGGTAAATATTTCTATCATGCTATGGCTTACCTATAACTTTAAGAATACAGCTTTACATTGTGTTGAAAATGTTTTATTGACTCACCATTTTTTCCTAAATAAAATGATCCATACACTATCTTTCTAGCTTTGAAACTGTGCTATGTATCTGTACACAGAATAACTGCTCATGGAATTTAGAATATTTTAAGTGCTTATGTTCCTTTATCTTCCTTAATTCACTAGAAAAATGAAATGACTGTTTAGTGTCTGAATCTAAGTTTCCTCGTTGATCAGAAGAATGTGAACATTCTTCATTGTGTGTTAAAGTTCCTCGGTAGATCAACTTTTACCACTCCTATAATTCCTTGGCTTTTATAAGTGGTCCCTCTGGAGACTGCCTCCCTCTTCACCTCTCCCGATAACCAGATGTGAATCCATATCTTTTTACAGAAACTTTAGTTTTCAATGAATTTTTCTCACAAACTCACAACCGTCTTGATTTTCTTTAATCTGATACAGAAAAACCTTCAGCTTTCTATTTTATTAGTGACAACTCAGAGTCACCTGTGGGGACTTGAGACTACTCCTGAGGGCTCTGTGGCTTTGGATCTAGTCTCTTATTATGATTGGAGTGGACAGCAATCCCATTTGTAAGTGGGCACTAAAAGGTTGAACTTATAGAAGCAGAAAGTACATTGGTGGCTATCGGGGTTCAGGAAGGCAGGGGAATGGGAAATTGCTGCTTTTCAAAGGAAGCCAAGGTCATGTAGACAGGAGGAGTGCTAGTGCACAAAAGAAATATAGTTAGGGGGTATTTAAAAATGATTTACGTAGCTGGGCGGTGGTGGCGCACGCCTTTAATCCCAGCACTCGGGAGGCAGAGCCAGGCGGATCTCTGTGAGTTCGAGGCCAGCCTGGGCTACAAGTGAGTTCCAGGAAAGGTGCAAAGCTACACAGAGAAACCCTGTCTCGAAAAACCAAAAAAAAAAAAAAATGATTTACGTGAACACATGTTTGCATTCATGTAAGCAGGTCACCACATGCATGCCTGGTACACTAAGGCCAAAAGAGAGAATATATCCCCAGGAGCTAGTGTAACAGACAGTTGTGAGCCACCATGTAGATACTGGAAGAGAACCTTGTCCTTTTACAAGAGCTGCAAGCAAGCATTCTTAACCACAGAATCCAGAGGGGCATTATTTTAAGGATAGAATTCAGAAAACCAGCTGACTACTCTCAAATTATTTCAATTTGACACCGGCCTGTTGGTTTATATATATAATCACTTTACACTTCTGTAAATTGCCCACTTACAGAAGAAAAATTAAGGCAGGGTTAAAACAATGAATCAAGTAATCACAATGATTAGATAATCAGTAAGTCTTCAACTTCTAAGTAATCAGCATCTCCAGTTCACACAAGCTTGTTACAGGTGATGACTGAAATAATTCCGTATGGCTTTTGTTTCTCAAGCCCATACATGTCAAACGTGATCATTCCCACACTTTGAATTGGTTCTTACAATGTGACATTAGTCATTTATTTGTGCTCAATGATCTGTCATGAAAGACAAATGAACCCAGCACAGAAAAACACATCCTCTCAAGTTGTTCTAGTCCATCATCTCCACATTCCTTCTGGTCCTGTT